TTCGGCCTTATAATCTAAAGCTCTCTTGAGGCATTTGCTACAGTAATGAGAAGTGGTATTTTATCAAGGCCAGGTTACTAAATTTGAGTTGGAAATATTAGAACCCGCCGTGGCACCACCAAGAAGGTTACACGTTCACGCGTCGTATACCTGGAACCATTTTAAGGTAAACTTAGAGGGATTGATATCTTTCGTATGCTTAGCGCGCAGACGAGATTTTATAATTTCATAGTTTTAAACGGCCTAAATACCTTAACTCGCTTAAAAAATAACGAGCTATATCGAAATGGGCACAGAAATAAATCTAACATCATTAAATTATTTTTCATATTTGTATAAAAGCGCGGGGTGAAACCCGCGGGTATAAGCTAGTATATATATATACCATGACACAATACATGATACAATGATATGATGATACAATGACCCATATATATATTATATTTTTATATGAGAATTGAAGTCGGTTTTGTTTTTTGCTTAAAAATTACTTGTAACTATACTTAGTAATATACCCTAATAATTATTGAAAGTTATTAAAAGCTGTCAGCTTTTTGCATTCGCGTACGCAAAAAACTTGCAAAGTAGGGGAAATTGAGAGGGCAAAGTTTCATTTCATTTTGAGGGGAAGCTGCTTGTTTCTGCTGGAAAAATTTTTCCCGAAAGTAATTCGCCAGCAAGAAAACAGCTGATTGGAATTTACGCAAATCACAAAATTTAATTTGGTGATTTGGAAGTTAAACATGATAAAATGCGACTAATTAAGCTTGTTAGAAGCAAGTTATTATTCCTTTAATCAATCAACTGTATCCGGTAGTGCGTTTTTGTAAGAAATCGACTAAATTTTCGATTATAGTGACGTCATATCGATTCGATCCAAGTTTGTCGATTGGCGGAGAAAAAGGGTTTCCGTAAGCATTAATCGACAAAAGTAGAACAGTGAGAAAAATGATATGCAATCGACAAGGAATGTGTGAAATAGAAATGAAAGTTATTTGTCAAAACATTTTGAAAAGTGAGCAAGAAAACAAAAATGTGTATAGAAAAAATTTTGTATTGGTAAATATTTATTTTCAGCTATGAGTGTAGCGATACAACTGGACCGCAGAAATATTCTGCGATTGCGACGGCGATGGTTTACTGATCTATTCATCATTCCAGAGGCGCGCTTTATAGAGTTATTTCGCTTCAGCAGGGCAGCAGTTAGTGAACTTCTTGTGGAAATGGAGCCTTTAATGGACAGCAGTAAGGAATACGTTCATACCAAACTCCATTATACTGTGTGTAGCACTCCACTATTATGCTACAGGATCGTACTTTAGAGACGTCGGTCAAGGTTTCGTTTGCTCCATAAGTAAGACCATGGTAAGCCGCATACTACATAAAGTCACAAAAATTTTGCAAAACTACAATATTGGAGCAGCAGAATATAATTAAACAACGGTATTACATTATTATTATTACAAATTTAGCGACTCGCTATTATTTCATTTGTTGGTTATTTACAGCGACTAGATTCCCCGGCGCCTTAGGAGCACTTGATTGCACTAACGTCAAAATTAAGAAGCCATACAGTGATGTAGAATACTGCTCCATCCCACTCGACCAACGTACACGAGAATGCATCCGTTTTAGATATTTTAGCAACACTTTCACTTACAAAACTGTTGAGAACGGGTTCCGAAAAAGTATCGTAAAAGTATTACCTGTCGCTTAGTTTGTGGCAGCAGAGCTCTCGTTCTCGACATACGTTTTCAAATGGTTTTTCGAAGTGTTTTCTATAGTGGAAACGTATCTCAGGCGGAAGTTACTGCAATCCGTTTTGCTATCGAGAAATTAATGAAAGCGGCAATGTTTTCGATCTGCTGTATTATCGAGAAGGTAGCGAAAACGAAAGATATTTCGACCCCTTTCTCTATCGAGAAATTAATGAAAACGGCAATGTTTTCGATCTTTTCGATTATCGAGAAAGTAGCGAAAACGAAAGATATTTCGATCCGTTTTTCTATCGAAAAATTAATGAAAACGATAATTAGAGCTGTTCCATTCCAGTTGATTCCCATATAAGAAGAGCGCTTTTAAAATTGTAACAGTTTTATATTTAATAGAATGTTCAGTTTTAAAACAATTTAAACATTAAAATAATAAATATTCATTACTTAAAAATTTGTTTTTTTTTCCTGGTACTTGTAAATTTTGCAGACTCGGTCGTGTGCGTACTGAAAAAATTTTTTTACTTATTTTCTCAAATTCGCTGTCCTCCAACGCAAACTTTTTTGTAAACGCATCTGAATAAAAAGTTAAAATAAATGAAATGACTATTCGATACAGCTGTTCGACTTACTTCGAATTGCCAACGTCAAATTCATCCCTCTTATGCATTTTTTGGCCCTGTCCCTCGCCACGAAAACTGCTACGCTAACGTGTCTTCAAACAATGACCGCCACGAGCTTCTTATAAATTTATCGTACGACTTCTCTCCATTGGTGCAAATTTCATAAACCTGAATACAAATATAGGTATATGAAAACAAATATATATTAATGCAAACATTGGAAATTCAAAATTAAATAAAGTGTCTGCTTGTAGTAAATTGTATTGAGAAATGAAACATTCAGCCCTATCGCCAATTTCTTGTGAATAAATCGTTCCCATAATTTAACATGCAAAACAAAAACAAATTGGGAAAAATGTTTTTGTTTTACTTTTTAATTTTTGGGAATATTTGTTCATGTGAAATTCGCGATAGGGCCGATTCTTTTAGGAAAATACATAAAAACTGCACTCACAAATTTTTTAAATACTTCTTCGTTCTTAAGTTTTTCTTCAAGGTTATTAATTTCTTCTAAAGTTGAGAAAGGAGAGCGAGGAACTATTTCACGCTCAATGGATATTTCTCCGTAAACTTTTGCTTTTATGGAAGTAACCTCGTTCCTTACAGAAATCGTTTCCATATTGGATCGATCGACTTTTGTTGTTAATTCATTAACTTTTCCATAGACGTCCTGCAAAAGTTTAAGAATCTCTAATAATGATTATTTTGTAAGTTTTAAAATTGTTATAAACTATTCAATAAATACCTGTTAATTGTTTTTCATTGTTGTTGTTATATAAATTGCTGTTATGTGGAGGTCTTTGTGTGTAAATTGTTCCATCGTCCATATTGAAAAGGTCGGTATATTGATGTGCTATTTTAACCTAATAATGTATCAATGGCATATAAATATGTATTTGGTCAATAATATGACAAACTTTCCCAGATATTTTATCTACTGGGTGTTTAATTATTTCAGAGTCTATTTCGAAACTTTTAGAAGAAAAAATACCCACCAAGGTCGAGTCTATAGGATAACTAAAAAAAGGATCTAAGTCGCTAAATAAAGTATTATTGTCTATTTCAAAAATTTTGTATATTTTGTAAACGGAATGGTCTATAACAAAATAAAATGAATTAGTACCTTTCAAGTCAAAGTAAAAGTTCTTATAGACAATATTTTTTCGGGAAACGTCTGAATTTAGTTTACATTATTTGTGCACAACATCAAATAAACTTCGCTCAACTATGCGGTTATAAAGCTGCTCTAATACGTTATCACTTTTTTTACCATATTTTTGAGTTGTCCCAAGAAATTTTCAAAAGGAAAAGCACTTATGGTTTCAAGAGAGCTAAAAATCCTTGATTGGATACTGAGATGGGTTAAGCAATGAAAATGATATGTTAACATCGTCCCAGAGTATAAAGAGGAAACGTCCTTCACAAAGTTGTTTAATAAACTATTTGCAAGTGCATTTTTGGTTTTGCAATATTCATTGTGAAGAAGAAGCCTCATCGCCAAGCTCAGATGCAAGAAATGATTGTACCTCTCAATGTCTAAAATGCTTCTCAAAACTATTGGCCCAGTGTATAGAAGAAAAGACCGAAACTCAGTAGCTTTATATCTTTCAAGCTCGTCAAGGGGTCTAGGCAATTGGTTAAATTCTTTTGGCACAAATTTTCGTATTGAATGTAGCTTACAACTAACCAAACTAATTGATTCTTTACTTAGTGAAAATGGGTGACCTCTTGTTCTTGTCAAAGCGACCAAAAGCGTTTTAACTACTCCCAGACACACAACATGCATATAATCAAAAGGGAATTGCAAAACCATGTCAAGTGGCAATTTTTCTAGAATCAATTCGCTTGTAATATTATGATGTTCTGGTTGTAAACGGGTTCTAAAACTTTCGTTGGTGCGGGGTAAGGCATCCGAGTTTTTAAATATAAGACGCCGTTGAAAAGACTCGCCTTTTTGAATGCATTTATTGCAAGAAAAGTAACCAGAGTGATGCTTAACTCCTAAAATAAAAGCGCGGGCTGGGGCATCACAAATGAACGATCTTATTTTTACACTAAAATATTTTTCCTCGTAAGAAATTCCATTGCCTAATAACTCTTGCAATTTTTCAACGAACTCTTTTAAAAAAATATTGGGATCCTGCGGTTTAGAGCAGCCGGCATAAATCCCCGCAACCAAAACGGGCTTAGTATCAAGCACATTTATTAGAATGGGCCAAACTTGCTTACGGGAACTTTTAAATAAAGGGAGACCATCTATATTAATGTTAAGTGAAATGTCTGAACGGTCAAATTGAAAATTTCGCAAAAAGTCCGTAAGTGCGTCTTTCACTCCATAGTGAACGTACTCTCCTGGTTGTACGTGTCTTTTAGCAATCGTCCGTGGTGTACATTTAAGCGTGCGCACATCACGTGGCAAATCAGAAATTTTCTCTGACAGTAGTGCAAGCAAATCGTTCGCACCCTGTCGGCTAACATTATTCGTTAAAAACCACCGTGCCAGACGAGCAGTAAAGTTAGGACAGTCTATTGGTACGTCATATGTATGATCTGCTTCATTACAAGCACTATTTGAATTAATATCTGCTGCTTTAGGAGTCGTGCTTGTTGCAGTCCCGTTAATATGTTGAACAGAAGTTCTTTTAAAGTGCCGAAATTCGGCAATGTATTGGCGTCGTTTTCTTTTAGGCGGCATTTTCTAAGAAAAGAAAACTTGAGTAGCTTTAATAAATAGATACTTTATAACTACATGGATGCGATAAATAATAAATTCTTTACATCGCGAATACTCAATGATATTACGCTTCGCAATCGATAATACCACCCTTTGTCACGCCATACGCCATGGCATGCGAGTAGCAATTAAGTGCAACCCAAATTCACTCACATGAGTGACCAAGACATTATAAAAAAATAGTCAGTTACTTAGTTAAATATATTTATTTATTTATACTTACTATGATGTTTTATATGGTTCCTTAAAAAGTTTGATCCAACTGTTTGAGTTGTGCTATTTGTATGATAAGGATAGTCAGTTTATTAGTTTAAATTATTTATTATGCAAAGGAGTTTCAATACTTACTCTGATTTATTATGTGATTCCTTACAATTTTGAAATATTTTATTACGTGAACGTACATGAAACAAAATGTTTTAATTTTTCTTAATAGAAAATTTCTTACAAAATGTTTAATAAAGCAATGCCTCCTTCTATATACTTTTTCGAATATTTTGTCCGAGAAAAGTTAGAGAAAAATTATAAAACGAATACATTCTCGATACATTCAATGGACAGAAAAGCAAAAATACAAACTTCCGTTTGAAATACGAGACTCTTAGGTGAGCCGGAGCGTGCGGGTAAGAGAAACTATCGTAAAACTCGTAACAACCGCTAACGTACGTTTCTCGGTCGGGTGGGATTAATCGGAAAGGCTACTTTTCCAAGAATGTGCAATTGGTGTACGATTTTGATTTAAATATCATGGCGTGCTTCACAAGGTACGCGTTAAGTACGCACGACGCTTACATTTGGGAAAGCAGTATAATAAAGTTTCATTTGCTAATGCATACACTGCAAATGGCTCTACTGGATGGTTGCTTGGAGATTCTGCACGAAACTGTGTAGAACGCCTTAATGGAGTTCTAAAAAAGGTATTTGCCTGCCTTTCACAAGACCGGGGGCTAATGGTGGATCCCCCATTTGCTGGGTCTATAATTACCGCATGCTGTACACTACATAATATTCGAAAGAGATTAAATCTTCCGCTCCCTGAAGTAGATCCAACTGCTGATCTATCTGATAATCAATCGTCTGGGGACAATGTAGAATTAGTACAGGTTTTAAATGAAGAAAGAGCTGTTCGAAATATTACAAGAAATCACTTTTGTAATTAGTTAATGTTATTAAAAATTTAAGTAAACGTGATTTATTATTGATTCGAACAAATTACGTTCCTTTATAAGATTTAATCGAAATTTATTCGTTATTTGTCCGCATGGAGATGCAAATTTTATAAGGATAAATATCTCTAAAACCGCGTAACCTAAAGCAGTAAATTTTGTGTCATTTAAGCACTTAAATATGTATACACCTAAAAAGTTTAGTAAGTAAAGACCGAAAAATCTGTTTTTTTGTATCGCCTAATCTTTAGTAGAACATGGGGCACCAACAGCACCCCTACCTTAGACTAAGAGGTAAAAATGGACTTATTTAGATCAAAAAATATGTTTGCAAGTTTTTATTACAAAATATTCATATATTTTTATATTATATACACTTATTTGTACTACATCGCGTCAAAATTATAAGAGCACCATACACTAACAAATTTTACAATTAATTTTTTGTTATTTAATTTTAGTTATTTTTTAAAAACATATAGTCTTTAGCAAACACTATATCACATAAAAAAATCATCAAACTTTCCACGAAATGTCAAACTTTTTAATAAGATTTCACAAAAAGATTCGAGAATGCAGTTCTGCAGCACATTCGAGCGCAAGTTTTTTGCTGACGTTCGTGTGCACTTTATTATATTAAAATTGAATGGGCTACAAAACTGCATACTTATAGTCTTCCTAAGAAATTAATTAAAAACGACTTGGAAAGTTCGTTGATTTTTTAAATATAGCGCAAAATTTTAAACTTGGATTTATACTGTTTTTTTTTTAAGAATAAACTACAGTGCAGCACCAAATTATAAGCTTAAAGAGTTTTTCACAATGTATGCAAAATTTTTTACTTTAATTTTTTCCACTCAGTTTTATAAAAATACTAGTAGACCCGGCGAACTTCGTCCCGCCCAAAATAATTTTTTTGTACACGGTCAAAAATTTGGGTTTAATTTTTAAACCGCGCTGGGACTACTGCCTTTTTTATACCCGAGCGCACTTGTGCACAAGGGTATATTAATTTTGTTCACATAACGGTTGTTTGTAACAGCCAAACGAATCGAGATAGATATAGACAAATGTATACATAAATGATCAGGATGAAAAAAGAAATCGATTAAGCCATGTCTGTCTGTCCGTCCGTCTGTCCGTCTGTCCGTGTACACGATAACTCGAGCAAAAATTGAGATATCTCAACGAAATTTGGTATGTAGGTTTCCCTTAATCCAAGGTAGGTTGGTATTGAAAATGGGCGAAATCGGACTTTAACCACGCCCACTTCCCATATAACGGTAATTTCCAGAAATACGAAAACTGC